CCCCAAAACCCCAAAACCCCATCAATCTAGTATTTGAAAATTTCATTAAAAAAACAATTCTTAAATATATATGATCCAAGTAATAGATTATAATCAAATTTTTCATCCAAATATTGAATCAATAGCTAATTACACAATAGATTAAAGCAATCTTTACTCATAAAATATCAGTCTATTTGTATTCCTATACAACTTTTGCAGACCAAGAATGGGCAATTTTCACATTTCCATCCATCTTTCAAATCATCAGGCATTTGACTTGACTTGCAAATACCGCAATTCATGCATCGGAAGGGATAGTACTTTAATTTGTGGCCTGCTTTTGGATGAACTTCTAAATCCTGTAAAACCCCAAAGCCTTTCTCATTCATTCTTCTTTATGCTATTTCTTGAAATGTAAATGCGGATATAAACTTGCTTGTACAGCAATTTTTACATACAACATCACATTGATTAATACCAGAGTATACATTATCAGCATCTCTATTACAGATCATGCATTTTTCTAAAGTCATGAAGTTTTATTTCCTTTTCTTAAGTTCTTTATGATCGTGTGTGATACTTATATCTCTTGGTAAAATGCATCTATAGCTGATTTCATAGTGAGGAAATTCTATCTCCTTGTCTTCATTACAATGCTTACAAGCAATCGTTTTTAATCTCACCTTGAACTCCATATTATCATATATGATAATTGAATTCGGGAGATGATCTAAATTTTTCATCATCATTTCATATTCATGATCAGATTAACAGCTACAGTTGCAAGAATATCGTTTCACATGCTCATATTGAGCTCTTAACTACTTTTCTATCTTTATCTCATTTTCTAGCTTCTAGATGATTTTAGCATTAACACAGTCATGTGGAACTCCATCCAATATCTTTTGGATTTCAGGTTTTAAAAATGAGTAGTCATTGCTAATTCTAGATAACCCGCAAGAAACACAAAATCTCATTGTACAAGTATTGTAGTGTGACTTGTCTAGACAATCAATTTTTACTCCACACCCAAATTAGCACTCGATTATATAACATTTTGTTTCGAAATGACGTTTAATATCATCATAAACTATCTCTTTCAAGCACGATTCAATCGGACAAATCATTACCATTGAACACAGTAAATTATCCTCTAATCTATTTAGCTTTTTATGATCATTAGATAAACCACATTTATCACACTGTTTGTTGTTTATGTTTAGGCATTCAGAGCAGACTATCTCATTACAATTAGGAGAGGTACATTTCAAAGGTTCGAATACAAGTGAGTTGCACAAGTTGCATTTAAATTACCTAACTGTTGGAACAAATCTTTTATGAAACTAAATCAGCTGATTTTTTGACAACTAAATTTAACTCTCCATTGAGTTCTTTCTTTTTGCTATTTTAATTATCTTAAAATTATTTTAATCTATATTTTATAAATCGCAGCCTTTCGGGGTTTTGGGGTTTTGGGGTTTTGGGG